TCATTCACTATGGTAAGATTTTTTGTTCTGATGATGCCTTACACCTGATCCCTTCGACACATCGTGGTTGCATAGGCTGGTGTGGGGGAGAATTATTAAGCCTCTAGAACACAGGTATGTAAGTCCCTGTTTCCAAAACTCCATTCGCATGGCTGCTTCCATGAACACTGATTGTGGATCCAAGCAAGATGAACTCCTTGAGGCCTCCTCTTTTCCTCTATCATGATGTGCCAACCTGTGTGCACTTCAACTTACCTAGAAAATTTATGTTGTGGGCATGTGTTCATCTTGTGCAGTCATTACAAGATAGTAATTGTAGCCTCTTCTCAGTCAGCAAGCCCAAGGACATGCTAACTATGTTCCCGTAAAGGTGTTCTCAGTATTTGAATTTGTTTGTTAAGGGAACAGTCATAATAATTGGTGTATAGTTGCATCAGGTCTTGAAATTGGAGAATTCTGTGGAAGCCTGGATGCTCATATTTTCTGTCTCCCACCTGAGCTAATTTCCAGGAGTAGAAAGCCTCATCTTTCCACCACTGGGTGGTTGGTGGTTTGGAACTGCTGACTGTGTGACTAACAGCCCAATGGGTGACCCATTGAACCACATTCAAAAAAGTCTGAAGCAAAAGTATTTGTCACCTCAAGCTTAAGAACATATTACTAGTTCAGGGCCTAGTGTTGCACTCTCACGGATGTGGGGTCCGGAGGAAACAATGCCACTCTCCATTGTTTCCCAGTTTTAAACAACTCATCCTGTCTGCTTTATGTTTTGCTGAATGGTGGGTCTTATGGAAGGAGGCGTAACTTTCCATTCACAAGAACTGATCTTTTTCTAATGCTTCTAGGTCATAAAGAGAAAAGAATAAGTCTATAACTGATTAGAAGGTGTTAGAAGTGTGTCAGACAGGATATGAACAGTGATTAAGGAAAAAGCTAGTATATATATCCTACAATAGACCTTGGTTGAACACAGAATTTTGTGTCAAATCTCCATAAATTTCTATTTTCTAAGGATTCTCAGCTTCATGCTTCATTTTTTGTCTTG